CAATATTAAAATTCACATAAAAGTATAAAGAAACTATGTAAGAGTATGAGAAAGAGTATGTATGAGTATGATCAAATTCGACTACAGGCAGCTAAGTGTGCATATTTTAAATGGCTTCAAACCTTTTTGATAAAGTTTTTGGTGTTTTTTTTTTCACTAATGTCAGACTTTAATATAATAATAATATGAATAATAATAAAAAGCAAAATAAAATGTGATGGCTAGTATTTACAGTCATTAAATATTTTAGATTAAATGTTTTAGTTGGCAAAGAAAACTCTACTCAATGCAGAAAGCAATATGTGGGCATTACTCAATTTAAGCGAGCCCTTAGGCTGGTCAGGAAATGTGCCCTAGTTTCTCTTGAATGCGACAAGCAATGGGAACACAGCCTATTGTACAGTGGAGTTCACCTCCAAACTACAATTTACACTGCACATCTATAGGCCTACTGATGAAAACAGTTATCCTGCTGAAGAAAAGTGACTGTATGAGGAATTTATAATTCAAGTACACATTCAGGTCTATTGCCAGTTAAATACTAGTAGACAGTTCCAGCATGGGTCAATTCTTTACAGGTTTTTTTTTTTTTTTTTTTTAATCGATTTGGCTTTTTCAATGCGATTTTTTTTTCTCGCAGAACAATACGTTCAGATCTCTGACCAATTAATTTCTTGTTCACATCTGATTTGAATTTTAAGAAAATTGCATGTGTTTTGGCACGTGTGCAAAAGAGCAAGTACAATTGTCTACAATTTGGACAATAACTAAATGCGCATGGCTTGCTGATCAAAACTGATGAGTTATTTCTCAGTGAAATCTCCAAACTCTTCACAACTTCTAAACATTATTTCATCGTGTGAGCCATGCAAAATGATCCATTCAAAATCAATTATCAAAATCTGTCGGACATGATAAATACCTATAACATGGAATGTTTGTAATGTCTGCTTTGGCAAATGGCCTGCAATTGTAATGAAATAGGAATCACAATCTTACCAATCAACCAATCAAATCTGGAAGCATAAAGTAAGCTATATGGAGTTTGCCCAGCACAATCACTACCATTTTTGAACATGGAAGGAAAGGATTGACAGATTGGTAGCTCTTTCTGGATTCTGTGGGTGGTGGTGCATGGCCGTTCTTAGTTGGTGGAGCAATTTGCCTGGTTCATTCCGATAACGAACGAGACTCCGGCATGCTAACTAGTTACGCGGCCCCGAGCGGTCGGCGTCCAACTTCTTAGAGGGACAAGTGGCGTTTAGCCACGTGAGATGGAGCAATAACAGGTCTGTGATGCCCTTAGATGTCTGGGGCTGCACGCGCACCACAATGGGCGGATCAGCGTGTGCCTACCCTGCGCCAAGAGGCACGGGTAACCCGCTGAACCCCGCTCGTGATCGGGACTGGGGATTGAAACTGTTTCCCATCAACGAGGAATTCCCAGTAAGCGCGGGTCATAAGCTCGCGTTGATTAAGTCCCTGCCCTTTGTACACACCGCCCGTCGCTACTACCGATTGGGTGGTTTAGTGAGGTCCTTGGATCGGCCCCGCCGGAGCTCCTCGCTGGGTTCTGGCGGAGCGTCGAGAAGACGATCAAACTTGACCATCTAGAGCAGGGATGGGCAACTTCGGTCCTGGAGGGCCACTGTCCTACAGAGTTTAGCTCCAACCCTGAAAAAATCACCTGCCTGTAACTTTCTAGTAATCCTGAAGACCTTGATTAGCTTGTTCAGGTGTGTTTGATTAGGGTTGAAGTTAAACTCTGTAGGACAGTGGCCCTCCAGGACCGAAGTTGCAGATTGGTGCATCAGATTATTTTTTTTGGTCCTAAGGGAAAATATTATCTATAAGAGCAATATATGTCCCAGGGGTTCAGAATCAGGGAGCAGACATCCTGTCGAGGCAGGGGCTGAGGCCCGGAGAATGGAGACTCCATCCAGAGGTGGTGGAGTTGATATGGCAGAGGTTTGGACCAATGGAAGTGGATCTGTTCGCGTCTCGAGGGACGTCCCACTGTCCACTTTGGTTCTCCCTCACTCATCCAGCCCCGCTGGGGTTGGATGCCATGGTACAGGCCTGGCCGAGGCTTTGCCTGTACGCGTTTTCCCCGATCGCTCTGCTCCCGGGAGTCCTGGAGAGGATCCGTCAGGAGGGCATCAGTCTTCTTCTGGTAGCCCCGTTTTGGCCGGCCCGAGTATGGTTTTCGGACTTAATTTCACTCCTGATAGCTCCGCCATGCCAGATTCCTCTGAGGAGGGATCTGTTGTCTCAGGCGGAGGGCACTATATTCCATCCTCGTCCGGAGCTGTGGAAATTGTGGGTCTGGCCTCTGAGGGGGCTCAGTACCTAGATGCTGGTCTATCATCTGGGGTGGTCGAAACCATACTTATCTCTAGGGCTCCGTCTACTAGGAGATTATATGGCCTCAAGTGAAATGTTTTTCCACTTGGTGTAGAGAACTTGAGTTAGGCCCAGTTAACTGCCCAATGGCTTCAGTACTGGAGTTTCTTCAAGATCGTTTCTCTGCTAATCTCTCCCCATCTACACGTGGGGTATACATGGCCGCCATTGCGGTGTTCCATGTACCACTAAATGTTGGGCCTTTGGGGAGGCACCAACTGGTCATACTATTTCTCCATGGTATTTGGTGGATGAGACCGACAGTCAGGTCCAGGTTTCTTTCCTGGGACCTGGCGGTGGTTCTCGAAGGGCTATCCCTGGCTCCCTTCGAATACCTCCAGTCGGCTTCGCCTAGGACCTCACGTTTAAGATAGCCTTTCTCTTAGCTATTCCTTTAAAGAGACTGGGAGATCTCCAAGCCCTGGCATTATCGCCAGCTTGCTTGGGGTGTGCCCCCTGCGGAGTTAAGGCCATCCTGCATCCGAGACCCAGCTATGTGCCTTAAGTGCAATTTAACATGGCTAGGTCCATGGTCCTCAAAGTATTTCATCCTCCACCTCATGTGTCGGCAGAAAAGGGGAGGTTCCTTGCTCTGCCAGTTAGAGTTCTGAGTATTTACCTTGAGAGGTCCTCTTCTTAGAGGAGGTCGAACATACTGTAGTGTGTTTTGGGTCACCTATAGGGGGCTCCCGGCTATACAAACCATAAGTAGGCTTACAAGGTGCGCAATTTGCCTTCATCTTTGGCCGTAAGGGATCTTTCTACTAGAGGCATGGCGTCCTCTAGGACCCTCCTCTCGGGAGTGCCCCTCCAGGAGATCTGTGAGGCAGCCGGTTGGGCTACCCCGCACACTTTTATCAGGTTTTACAGTCTGCACCTCCCTAGTACGCCTGGCGCACATGTGCTCTAGTCCTAGCTGAGTGCCTGAGATCAGTTTCACTCTAGGGCAGGCCTTTTTCGGTGTGTTGCCTAGTGGGCATTCGTTCCCCAAAGAGTCGTTTTTCAACGACGCAGTGTGAGTTCCCTCGAAAGGGAACGTCTCAGGTTATGACTATAACCCTTGTTCCCTGAGAAGGGAACGAGACACTGCGTCGTCCTGCCACGCCCCTCAATGCCTGAGAGCGGCTTGCTTCATCGCTAGGCTAATGTGTGTTTGTGCCGGCGTAACTTTTATGTGCCGTCACATGTTACGTCATGACGCAACACCAATCAGGATTGGATTAGTTTCATTCATACTTCAGAGGCGCACGCTAAGGGAGCGTCCCCAAAGAGTCGTTTTTCAACGACGCAGTGTCTCGTTCCCTTCTCAGGGAACAAGGGTTATAGTCATAACCCGAGACGTTCTATTTTGGTTGTGTTTTCACTTCGCCTGCTTAGTTATCTGTTTCCTGTGTTCCTTTGTTCCCACCAGGCATTAGTTACCATAGTTATTCATTTAACGATCACACCTGTCAGTCTGTTAGTTCATTATCATTGTGTATTTTAGTTCCTCTTCCCCTTCTGTGCTTTGTCCAATATTGTCGTGTGTTACACGCTTTTTCAGGTTTTTTTTTTAGGTTTTTTTCTCCTCTGGATTATGGAAGTTTGTTTTATTTAATAAATACTATTGTTCTAGAACCTTTTTTGGATCTTCTTCGTCTTCATCGGACACTGAACGTAACACATAATCCTAAACAGCAACAGCAGTTTATTTTTGTAGAAATGCGTTACAGCTAAACTGAAAATGCACAGTTGCTTGTCATGGAAGAGAAATAGGAAGATATGTAAGAATGTGTGGTGGTGGTGGTAGTGGTGCTGTTATGGGAAGACAGTGTCTTTAACCCTCTGAGGTCTAAGGGCATTTTTTCACTTTTTCCTTCGATTTTACATATCTTATTAAATTCACCTTTTAAAGGCAATTACATAACATAATCCCACATGTTTTATATCAAAATGTGCAGAGAAAACCCAGCTCTCTTACTGGTGAGTTCACCACTTGTCCTGGAGAATTGTGTAAAGAGAGAGAGAGGGATAATCTGTCTCTAAAAGGTGAAAAATTTGAGTCCGATTTTTTAAATTCTTCAAATCTCTTGTGGAAACATACCATTACTCATGTGGACGAATTATTTTGGTCCTTGAAATGGGTTTCCCAAAGTCTTAGGGTCACAAAAGGAGTGTAATATATGAATAAAATAGTAGATAATGAATAATAATTGTCTAAAGTGACATTTTTGAAAAATCGTTTTTTAGTACAAGTTTTGTCTGTGACTCTACCTTCACCAAATGTTAGAGGGACTGAGATAAAATAGGACTAAAATAACTTCCTACTACATATCAAGCTTTATGGGATGTGTGCAAATGAAAAAGTAGCATTACAACAGGTCTTTCTTTCAAGCAAAATGTTTACTTTGTGAAAAAAACTCACTACTAACAATATTCACAAAATGTACACATTTTCATGTTTTACATGTCAAAAAAAAAATTCAAACCAAAGATGAACTATATATTAGAAATATATATATATATATATATATATATATATATATATATATAAAACACAGAAACTTACCACTATTTACAATATTTACACAATGTGCATGTTTTCATGTTTCAGTTTTTCAGCTGTCATGCCATGCTGCAAAACAGTTTCTGTCCAGCTGCATGCAAAGCGCAACACCACACTCCCTGCATTTCCAAGGTGTGTCCTTTCTCTGGCCTTGGCTTTGGCAATGCTCACACCTGCTGCGACCTGTGGTGGCTTTTGTGGAAGAATCTGCTGCATGAACGGAAATTGGCACAGGAACATGACCTGCAGGTACCGGGACCGGAGCAGTGTGAAGAGGCTTACCACAGAGTTCAGCAGTCAGCTCCTCCATGAAAGCTCTGTGTGTCATGGGTGTTGTTTGCTGGGCCAGACAGAGTTCCTTGTGGAGGATGTAGCTGTTGGTGGTGGCAATGTCCAGAAAATGGTAAAACAGGTGTCTGTACCAGCGCATTGTTTTGTGTTGTGCAGAGTAATATTGAATGAGCTGGTCTGAATGATCAACTCCCCCCATGTGTTCATTGTACGCCATAACTGGTGTGGGACAGGGGATTGATATCTTTGTCCAAGAGCCATCTTGTTGTTTCACCCTCCTCTGAACAGCGTTACCAGAGTGTGCTGTGTGAAGTGTGGAGCAGACTGATACTTCTCTCGTGTCCATCCATTTCACATAGATGAGGGGGCCGTCCCGGATCCATCTTATGGAGCCTCTTTCTGATTTTTTTGTGAGGGCGTTATTTGTTGTCCGAGGGCAGTCCTTGCGGTTCTCCCTGTAGGTCCCACAGGCAGCAAATTTTTGCTCATGGAGAGCCCTGAAGAGCTTGGGGCTTGAATAAAAATTATCCATGTAAATGTGGTAGCCTGTGCCAAGGTAACCTGGTTGTACCAGGGACATCACAACATCATAGGAAAGGCCATGTCCAGAGGGGATGTCACTTTTGCCGGTGTAAACGGAAAAGTCCACTGTGTAGCCATTCCGTGAGTCTGCCAAGACAAACAACTTGAATCCCCACTTTATCGGTTTTGCCTTCATGTACTGCGTCATCCCAGTTTTGGCCTTTGATGCAACCATTCTTTCATCCACAGCCACATCTCTGTGAGGATGATAAAATGACTTGCAGGCATTTTTGATGGTGTTCATCAGGGGTTTCAGTCTGAAAAGTTTGTCATGGTCGGCTGTGCCCTTTTTTTTGTCATTCTGGACATCCTCTTCAGGGTCGCTAAGGTGAAGGTTCCAAGAAAGTGCTCTGTATCTGTCCCGTGGCATGATCTGTACTGGAAGTGGAAAAGAGAAGAAGTGATTCTGTCTCCAGTAATCTGCAATGCTGTCGAGTTTCACCATGGCCATGTACAGAAGCAGTCCAATGTACTTGTAAAACTCCCCTATGTTCACATCTAACCATTTATATTTCTTTCCCTGTGCCATTTGTTTAGCAGCCTGCTTGTTTGTGTTTTGGCACAGTGTTTGTATGATTTGTACAGGGAAGAAAAGTTTGAAGAGGTCGAGTGGTGTATATGTGGAAGTGGAGCTGAGCTGTGGCCCTGGTGTTCGAGCTGGTTGAAACCTGGAGACAGGGGGAGCGATGTCTGGGTCTTTTTCCGTCTTCCAAGACCGTGGAGCTGGCTGCTGTGTAGGTGGGGGTGCTGGTTGATGCTGGGGGTTACGGGACCTCTTGGCTGGCCGGGTTGCTGATGATGGTTGCTGTGTAGGTGGGGGTGCTGGTTGATGCTGGGGGGTACGGAACCTCTTGGCTGGCCGGGTTGGTGATGATGGTTGCTGTGTAGGTGGGGGTGCTGGTTGATGCTGGGGGGTACGGAACCTCTTGGCTGGCCGGGCTGGTGATGATGACTGCGATGTAGGGGCTGGTGGTGACCTGGTGGCAGGCACAGGTGAGGCTGCCTGTGTTACACTGGGCCCTGGTAGCTGTGAATCCTCTCTGAAAAAACACAAAAACAAATAAGTTAGGACTTGCATTATCAATTTAATTGCTCTCTCTCTCTCTCTCTCACACACACACACACACACACACACACACACACACACACACACACACACACACACACACACACACACACACACACACACACACCAATCTCCACCTAACAAGAATGTGGAAGATGTGTGAGGATTTGACACATCCTTCAGCTAATCTTCTCTTTATCTAACGTTATTCCAATTTATCACATGTGCTAGCTGTCCTGTCCACCCCAAATCACAGCAAATAACACCTGAATGAGATGTGGGAATACTGTCTCTTCCATTTCAAAACTCCACAGAGATTTATAATTTTACATTCAGTATAAATATAGGCCTACTAAACATAAATAAAATTATATGAAAGATCAAGCCACATCTATACAAGTATAAACAATATGATAAAAAAGGTCAATGGCCAAAACATATCGATTCATCACTACAAGAGATAGGCCTAATGTTATTCAAATTGTGAATTGAGGTGAAGAAATATCACATTAGTTATCATAAGGAGACCAGCAAGAACAGCCTACAACGTTACTATTTGTAAGTGTACCCCGGTTTTACACAAGAAAATAACTTTTACATAAAGTAAACACTTTGCTAAAGGCGCAGTCAATTTGTCAAAGCAGCACAGCGCAGCTTATTTTAGCCAAGATGGTCACCATGCGAACGAGGTTTTTATAAAATAAATACGCTTACCCGTCTTCAACTGGATCTCTTCTGTGATCATAATCCTCATCTTCATCAGAAGAAAATCCATCAGGCTCGGAAACTCGCCTTTCATCCTCGTCGCTGCTATCCAAAATCGCAGCAAGTGCGTCTTTCAATGTCAATGTCTTCGGCATTTTCTCTCCTCGTCTTCTTCTTACTTTTCCTCTTCTTTATATATATTTTTGCCATGTTTTTTTCGCGGACTTTTTCTTTCGCGGACTTTTTTACTCTTTCTCTCTCCATGTCAGCTGGTATTTTCCTCACTGTGAGGAGATGGGAGGGTACTTAGGGATTTCAACCGCATCTATTGGTTGGTTTCACACAAAATGCAGACAGGCAAGCTAGCCCACCAATCACGCACGGTGAATGACCATCTTGTCTTCCCTCTTGCTCTCTGTGTGAGTCACATATGATCTCGCGAGAATAAGGACGTTGAAGCTGAGAATCTATCGATTACGGCAAAATCAGAACCATTTATGTGTGCTGCACAATCGCGGAGATATTAATAGAAACATTTAGTAAACATTGAGTTGACGCGCCCGCGCGTCATCCGACCTCAGGGGGTTAAACGATAGGGTATATCGCAGCGACCGCACTTGGCTGGAGTTAGGTCCTGCTCCTTATTTGGGTGGCTAGCATAGAAGTCGCTTCCTTCAGACGTCTTCAAGTGAGGGCAGAGCTGCATGGTTCAGACCTGTTGACTTCACTGGGTTTTCAAGTGGGCACCCCACTTCACCGGTGTTTCGTCAACTAGCCCACGACACCTCCATGAGGCTTGACAGCAGAGCCAGCGTCCTGGAACTGCTCCCTCGGTCATTCAGGACTATACCACTCCGCTCTGACCCCCGCCCTCTCTGCCAGCCTGGTTTTGCCACCGCTCGCTCCTCTTCAACCACAGCCATCTGGATGCTGTCTCTGCCTGCTTTGCTATCTTGTTCACTAGGTTCTTGCGGATTGTCCTTCTAACCCCAAGCGTCCCCAAGGCTCTCCAAAGTGACTGTACTGGGAACCCCCTGCAACCCACCTCCACCGGTAGATTCCAGGCTCTCCAACCCCTCTGCTGGCTCTCAAAGATGAGGGACTGCTACTTCCCTAGCTTGCGTTCGTGTGCCTCCTCAATCCTTTCCTCCCAGGGTACCGTCAGCTCTATGAGGGCCACCTGTCTTGTTGCCTGAGACCAGAGCACGATGTCTGGTTGGAGGCTGGTCACGGCAATTTCCTCTGGAAACTTGAGTTGCCTCCCGAGATCAACTCTCATCTCCCAGTCCTCTGCCGTACCAAGGATCCCTAAGGATCTGTTCTCCTTGCCTGCCTTCTCCCCAGGCCTGAGGAAGCAAATGAAACGGGGACCTCTATCTTGGGCCTTGGTTCTTTTCCGCTTCCTCTCCTTTTCCAGTCCATCAGCGAGCTGTGCGAGCACCTGATCATGGCGCCACCTGAACCTCCCTTCAGTCAGGCCTGCCCGACAGGACGACAGAATGTGCTCCAGGTTTGCCGGTCTCTTGCACAGCGCACAGGATGGATCCTCTTTCAGTCTCCATCTTTGGAGGTTTGTTGGTGTTGGCAGGACATCGTACACAGAACTAAGGAGGAACTTTATGCGATGCCCCTCTATATTCCAGATGTCCTTCCAACTGAGAGATCTTCCTCGGACACTTCCCCATCTGGTCCAGCTGCCTTGCTGTTTCATGGCTACTGCCCTGGCTTGTCTACTCTCTTCCTCCACGGCCCGAATCTCCTTCTGCACCATCCCTTTCCGGTCCTTTGCCTTTGCCTCCTTCCAGCTTGCTAGGGTGATGACTCCCAGGCCCAGCCTCCCCTGGGTCACCGTGCCCATGATGTCTGCATGTTGTAAGCGCTCTTCCGCTTCCCTCAGAGCTCCGCTGGCTTTCCACTTCCGTCCCGTCTTCACTACGATGTTGGCCTGTCGCACAGCCTGATCGTTACTGTCACGCAACATCATGGCCAACCGAACTTTGGCTGTCTTAAATTCCTCCACGACTGATGTGATTGGCAATTGCAATTTGCTCCCTGAGCTGTATAGCCCTATAGAGCAAAAACTTTTGGGGACAGACAGCCACCTCCTGAGGAAGTTATTAATTCTCCTTTCCAAAGCCTCCACTGTTGTCAAGGGGACCTCATACACAAGCAGTGGCCACAGGAGCCTTGGAAGGATGCCGTGTTGGTAGCCCCATACCTTGTACTTGCCGGGCAGGCCACTCCTCTCCAGGGCTTTCAGCCATTCTTCTGCTTGGTTGACCATCTCCTTCACTCTTGCTTTGTCAGTCAGGTCGGCTCTGTACCACCTCCCTAAGCTCTTTACTGGCTTCTCTGTATCTGTTGGGATGGTATCTTCACCGATCTTAAACCGGAAGCGGTCCTGCACACGGCCCCGCTTCAGTACCAAGCTTCTCGATTTTGAGGGTTTGAACTCCATCCTAGCTGCTGTGGTGAGCTCTACCAAATCTTCCAAGATCCATCTGCCCTCCGGGACTGACCTCGCTGTTATTGTCAAGTCATCCATAAAGGCCCTAACTGGGACCTGTTGGACTCCACTTGACAGCACAGCTCCCCGTCTGGGCTTCTCCACTGACTTGACGAGGAGGTTCATCGCCGCTGCGAACAGAATCACAGAGATGGTACATCCGGTCACGATTCCGACCTCCAATCTCTGCCAGTTGGTGGTGAAGTCACCAGAGGTGAAGCGCATCTTGAAGTGCCCAAAGTAGTTCCGGAGGAGCATCCGTACCTTCTGGGGGACGTGATAGGCTCTGAGTGTGTGGTCGACCAACTTGTGTGGTACTGTGCCATAAGCATTCGTTAGGTCAAGCCACAGGACTGCTAGATCTCCCTGGTTCCTTTTAGCGTCCTCGATGATCTTGGAGATGACGCTGTTGTGCTCGATGCAACCGGGGACTCCTGGTACTCCGCCTTTCTGTACAGAGGTGTCAATGTACTTGTTGTTAATTAAGAACTGGGTCAGCCTCTTCGCCAAGATTCCGAAGAACACCTTCCCCTCCACATTCAACAGCGAGATTGTGCGGAAGTCTTTCAAGCTAGAAGAGTCCTCTTGCTTAGGGATGAAGCAGCCCTCAGCAATAAGAAAACTGTCTGGCAGATGGTTCTTCCTCCACACTACCTTAAGTAGCCTCCAAAGGCGTCTCCTCAGCCTCTCACAGTTCTTATAAACTTTGTACGGAATTCCATTCGGCCCCGGTGCAGATCTTCCCCTTGCCTTTCGGATGAAGTCGTTGACTTCCTGCCATCTGGGCTCTCCGTCATCAAAGGAGATGGTCGGCTCCTCTGGGCTGCACAGCTTTCCTTCCAGGTCGAGTTCTTCCTCTCGCCTTGGGTCACTGTGCACTTTAAGGAGGTGCTCTTCTACCTCCTCCTTCGGGGCCTTTAGCACTCCTGATCTTTTTGCTCCAAGAAGCCCTGACAGGTACTTGAAGGGTTTTTTTGTGAACTTGACCCTCTCCTTTTCCCGCCTCCTTCTATCCCTTCGCTGGCACTCCACTCGGCGCAAGATCTTTATGCGCTCCCTAATGTTATCTCGCATCTCTTTAAGGGCAGATTTTTCGTCTTCAGGAGCCTGCCGAAAAACCTTCCTCAGTCTTCTCAAATCGGCTCTGAGTTTTGCAATTTCCCTTGAACGCCTGTTCTCTCCAGCATGCTGCGGGCCTTTGGTCTGTCTCTGCTCTGTCCCAAAACGCTCTACTCCCATATTCCAGATGATAGTGGACGTTGCCTTTATCTTCCTGCAAATGTCACCCGCGAGGACAGACTCCAGGACTTGGTCTATCTCCCTGTCGAAAGACTCCCAGTCTTTCATGGCTGCTGCTGTTGGCCACCGTACTAGCTTTTTCCTCTTTTCCTCTCCCTCAATGGCCCGAAATTGCTGACCTGTTTCCTGGCTGGCTTGCCTCTCTTGATGTTGCTTGTCGTCTGAACCATTGTTGGTATTTGAGGGAATGCTGACTCCTTTGTTGCGTGCCTGGAGATTCTGGGTGCTATGGTCGGACACCTGACCCTGCCTCTCCTCCGTCTCATCAGGTTGCCCTGTGCGTTGCACACAACTGTGTCGTAAACATCCCATCCTACTCTGGTGTATCTTCAGACCCCTATCGCCTTTGCAGACTTATCACACCTACAGACCCTAGTTGTTCCGTTGTTCTGAACCGTTGTCCTTTGATCGTCATCCGTGGTCATATCAGTTGTCTGTCCTGTAGGTCGCTCTCTCAGGGTGGCTAGCATAGAAGTCGCTTCCTTCAGACGTCTTCAACTGAGGGCAGAGCTGCATGGTTCAGACCTGTTGACTTCACTGGGTTTTCAAGTGGGCACCCCACTTCACCGGTGTTTCGTCAACTAGCCCACGACACCTCCATGAGGCTTGACAGCAGAGCCAGCATCCTGGAACTGCTCCCTCGGTCATTCAGGACTATACCACTCTGCTCTGACCCCCGCCCTCTCTGCCAGCCTGGTTTAGCCACCGCTCGCTCCTCTTCAACCACAGCCATCTGGATGCTGTCTCTGCCTGCTTTGCTATCTTGTTCACTAGGTTCTTGCGGGTTGTCCCTCTAACCCCAAGCGTCCCCAAGGCTCTCCAAAGTGACTGTCCTGGGAACCCCCTGCAACCCACCTCCACTGGTAGATTCCAGGCTCTCCAACCCCTCTGCTGGCTCTCAAAGATGAGGGACTGCTACTTCCCTAGCTTGCGTTCGTGTGCCTCCTCAATCCTTTCCTCCCAGGGTACCGTCAGCTCTATTAGGGCCACCTGTCTTGTTGCCTGGGACCAGAGCACGATGTCTGGTCGGAGGCTGGTCACCGCAATTTCCTCTGGAAACTTGAGTTGCCTCCCGAGATCAACTCTCATCTCCCAGTCCTCTGCCGTACCAAGGATCCCTAAGGATCTGTTCTCCTTGCCTGCCTTCTCCCCAGGCCTGAGGAAGCAAATGAAACGGGGACCTCTATCTTGGGCCTTGGTTCTTTTCCGCTTCCTCTCCTTTTCCAGTCCATCAGCGAGCTGTGCGAGCACCTGATCATGGCGCCACCTGAACCTCCCTTCAGTCAGGCCTGCCCGACAGGACGACAGAATGTGCTCCAGGTTTGCCGGTCTCTTGCACAGCGCACAGGA